GGGAGACTATGGCAGAGGAAGGGAGATTGATGTGGAGGAAGAGAGAGGGAGCTATGGCGGAGGAAGGAGAGAGGTAGAGTACGTGGATGGAGGTTTACTGATGGAGGATGGGGGCGAGAGGGAGACTGTGGATGGAGGGTGGCTGATGTGGAGGGAGGACATGGCGGAGGAAGGAGAAAGGGAGACTATGTGGAGGGAAGGAGACTGACGGAGGAAAAGGGAGGAGAGAGGGAACCACTATGGCGGAGCAAGGAGGTGAAAGAAGAAGCGCTATGGCCGAGCACGAAGAACAAGAAGACGCAGAAGAAGAAGAGGACGCAGAAGAAGAAAAAGAAGAAGAAGAAGAAGAAGAAGAAGAAGAAGAAACGAAAGAAGAATGAAATTAAGAAAACGAAGAACTGAAGATGATGATGGCGTGGATGGAGGGCCACAATGATGGTGTGGCTGGAGGGCAATGACAATGGCGCGGAGGAGTGCGGCATGGCAAGGACAACCACAGCACGGCGACGATGGCGAGGACAACGACGGCAAGGCGACAACAAACTTGCACGGGGAGTAATCCGGCGGAGGGCGCAGAGCCACAAGTGAAGTCCCGAGATTCGAATTCAAAATCTCGGGACTTTAGCCCCGTCGATCAATGCAGATCAACAGCCTAGGCGGGGAAAAAAAAAACATGAAACGGGGCCTACGGGACCCCAACAAATTTTGCGGCCACCGCCAAATTGTTTCTCCCTCTGGGCCATAGCCCCACGCCACGGATTTTTTTTTCGCCAGTTTTTGGGGGTGTTGCTGAGGAGGCTCGGGTGCCTGGCCGGGGGGGTCCCACGGCCAGGCGCCCCCAGCGCCCTTCCGGGCAACCTGGGGTGGCCTGCTCACCCGGGCTGGAAAGCTAGGCTAACGTGCCATTTGTCCCTATTCCTGCCACCCCCTTTTTTCTTGGGAAAAAAAAGACGAAAACATTGCTCCATCAAGAATGGGCAGGTTCACCAATTGGCTCAGTCGGTACACACCTGACCAGAGGTCACCAACGGGTGGCCGTGACCGGACTCGACCGTACCCAGCCGTAACCGGCAGTTTTGGATGGGGTGCGAGTATGCCTACGAAGGATATGCATTGGTCCGGCTGGGTGTGAATATGTGTGAGAATATGGTGGGTGGAATTGGGCAGGGTGAGAAAGTTTCAAGGGGGCATGGCTGGGCGGGATGGTAGTCTTGATTCCCTGGGCGGGTACGGCTGGGTGGCGGTTTGGCCCGGGTGACCCGAAGCTTGTAGGCCATAAAACTAGTATAGGTACTAGCCTTGTAGGTAGCAGGTAGTATTAGGGCCAGGCCGCAATATTAATTTAGGGTGGGCCCTTTTCGCCGGCAATATGGCAGGTATTGGGGTCCTATTAGTAAGAAATAGGCCCCCGCGTTTTATTTTCCTACTGTTGCTCTTTTTCACCTGCAATGGGACGTGTAAAGCCGCAAACCGACGGGCCTCAGTCCACTACTCACCAAATGTGTAAAATGGGAATGAATCTTGCATTACATGCACAAAAGACAAAAAAAAAAGGCTATGAATCTTCCCATGAAGTAACACATTATTCATTCTCATTTCACGCATTTGGCAAGTAGTGGAGTGAGCCCGCCCAACCTGTAGAAGACGGGTGCCAAAATTTCGAAGTTGAACTTCGATTCTTCGAAGCTTGGACTGGCGCGGGTGTTGGGTTGCTCCACTCCCATTCGGCACTCTGGCGGCAGCGAGCGAGCAAGGAGGTGCGCTATGCAAGCGTTAGGGCGAGCAGCAGCAACAGCTACAGCAAGGCGAGTGTGGTGGCGCGTGGCTATGCTGGCACAACAGCAAGCTTGCAACGACGGTGAGCGACGAGCTTGGCATAGCGGCAAGCTTGCAACAGCGGTGCGACGATCTTGCAGCACTTCACGAAGAGAGAGAGAGAGAGAGAGAGAGAGAGAGAGAGAGAGAGAGAGAGAGAGAGAGAGAGAGAGAGAGAGATGGTTCCGAGTCTACTATCGACACATGTACAAGAAGGTAAGTATAAATGTACTTGGCCATTCAAGCCGTCCAGCTGCATCCTGAATGTGTTGTAGTCGAACA